TGAAAATGATCGAATATGACATGGAGTCAGCGAGTACTGTGGAAGTAGTCGAATATGACATACAGTGGGGCGAGTGCTGTTGAAGGGGTTGAATATGACAAGCAGTCGGGCTGATTGGTAGTTTGAAGTGAGAAGTCAACTGCCGGTTGATAGACGTAGTTTGAAGTCAGAAGTCAACTGCCGGTTGATAGACTTGTTAGTTTGAAGTGAGAAGTCAACTGCCAGTTAATAGACTTGTACCGTTAAAGTAATAGAGTGGGGTGATGGTAGTTTGAAGTCAGAAGTCAACTGCCGATCAATAGACTTTTTGCAAGTCAGAAGTCAACTGCCGATCAATAGACTTTTTTGTCTTTGAAGCTAGAGTCAACTGAAGGTAGAAAAAAGGCGAGGTGAGTACTGTGGAAGTGGTGAAATATGACATACAGTGGGGTGATGGTAGTTTGAAGTCAGAGGTATATGACATACAGTGGGGTGATGGTAGTTTGAAGTGAGAAATAGGTAGAAAAAAGGTGAGGTTAGTACTGTGGAAGAAGTCGACAGTAGAGCAAAGGTGAGGTGAGTACTGTGGAAGGGGTCGAATTTGACATACAGTGGGGTGATGGTAGTTTGAAGTGAGAAGTCGAAGAGAAAAGGTAAGATGAGTACTGTTGAAGTGGTCGAATTTAAGAAAAAAGGTGAGGTGAGTACTGTGAAATGGTCGAATATGGACAAAGGTGAGGTGAGTACTGTAAAAATAGTCGAATATGATATAGAGTGGGGTGATGGTAGTTTGAAGTCAGAAGTCAACTGCCGATCAATAGACTTTTTGCAAGTCAGAAGTCAACTGCCGATCAATAGACTTTTTTGTCTTTGAAGTCAGAAGTCAACTACCGTACAGTGGGGTCATGGTAGTTTGAAGTGAGAAGTCAACTGTAGGTGAGGTGAGTACTGTGGAAGTAGTCGAATATGACACAGTAAGGTAAGATGATTACTGTGAAAGGGGTCGAATATGACATAAGTGAGGTGATGGTAGTTTGAAGTGAGAAGTCAACTGCCTTAGTCGAATATGACATACAGTGGGGTCAGAGTCAACTGAAGGTAGAAAAAAGGCGAGGTGAGTACTGTGGAAGTGGTGAAATATGACATACAGTGGGGTGATGGTAGTTTGAAGTCAGAGGTATATGACATACAGTGGGGTGATGGTAGTTTGAAGTGAGAAATGGGGTGTAGGACATATAGGGGGGTCATGGTAGTTTGAAGTGAGAAGAAAACTGCCAGTTAATAGACTTTTTTGCCGTATGAATATACGGCGCCCAGGGTGCACCACGTGGAGGTAAGTCTATCGCACACTCATTAACTAAAAATAAATGCACTTATTTGTCAAGCGACGTCCTCTAAAAGTCTTTCAAAGATACGTTCGCATTAAACGTATTGTAAAATTTAGGAATGTCATCTGATATTCGGCGTTTTGAATACCTTCGTGTTTGCAGGACTTAAGCATTGGAAATCCTTGTTGGTCCTTGAGAACGGGGTACAGTGACCTTTTTGGGATCATTGACAAACAGTTGCCAGCTTGGAACTTTATTGTTTCCGCTAGAAGTCCATTGAGAAGAGGTATATTTTGGCATTATTGACAACGTAGCTATAACAGACCCGTCCATGTATGGAATTCTCTGACTAAAGACTTAATTAAATATTTCCAGGGTAAAATTTCTATCCAGGCACCTCACTCACAACTCCTATCTTCGATCAGAGAAAATGACAGGTGCATATTGGAGAACCAATTAATTTTATTGGGTGGGGGGGGGGGGGGGGGGGAGGGAGTTTGACTTAGTAGTAAAATAACTTAGGAAGGTCATCTACTCATCATGCAACACCCCATGGGAATACTTCAACTTTGTCGACATATGTACTTTTACGAATTTCGTGAAGTAAGATCACAAGGCACTTTAAGTACCACCCAAGTGTGTGTGTGGCGTACTTTTATAGATTATACTTCACACATTATGTAGAGATGGTGGAAATAAGGAAGATAGATTGACATCCAAATATTTTTCCCAGCACTTTATTAGTGCGTTTCAATTTAAACGATGAGGTAACTAAACACATTATTGACCTTTTAACATCATTCCAACTAGGTGGCGTTAAATACACACACTGCTTTCTGTCCTCTAAGTGCATTTCAAATTAGGCGTCATTAAAAAACACCAAGAGGACATGCAACTTATCAGAACTCTAACCTAATTAAAACTTGCGTAGTAAATAAAAAATAAAATGGAAAATTTTCAAAAATTTCACAAAATTAAAAAAACATATTTGGGTAAAAATAATTAACGTATACTGAATTTAGTAAAATTATGCCAATGCAATTTAAACAAATCGCCCCAATTAAATTGAAAGATAGGAAAAATAAATTCGATTTAAATTTACAACGGTATAAAATAAAAGTTCCATTTTCCTTTAGTTTAGGTGTATCTACAGGGGAACAGGCGTTTAATTGAATCATTATTTTCTAGATGAATAAAACACAAAAATTTATTTTCTTTGTTTGTGAAAATAGTGTAATGGTAAGAAGGAATTGCGCATTTTACAAACAGGTGTTCGATTTGACTTTGCCACCAATTATGATTAAGGAAATAACTCTGTAAGTTTATTCCAAGTAGATAAAATGTTCAAGATTATTCATGAGCCATAAATTTCATTTCAATATTGAGGTTGAACAGGCGGACTAGAAGCTTTTTCCTTTCATCAGGCCACCCAAATCACAACTGCAGTTCGTGGCCACGTGCTACACAATCCGACATTACTAAGTTAAGCATTAAACGTGACGTCGTATTGAAATCCCTGGCTGAAGCATATCCTCGTTTAACAAATGTGGAAGTGGTATCGGAGAGACCCTCGCGCATATGGTCAATTTTGTGACAAAATCTGAAGCGCTTTGGTCAATTGAATTGAACGGGAATTCAGGAGTCGATGCATTAACGCTGCAAGTATAATAAACATGAATGGTGGAAAGCTTGCATTTCTTTCATGTCTTAAGAATAAAGAATTTGTCCTCTTTTTTTACTAAATTCTTACTGGGGACAATAAGTGAATCGTTTATGGCAGCAATTTAGTTTTAAAAAAGCAACACTTGTCAAGAAATCTAACAATCACACCGTGACCTCAAAGAAAGTTAGAGTTCACCATTCAGAAACTTCGCTTCATTCGGTTGGATGTATGCAAATAATTCTTTGCGAATGGTTAAAATGACCAAAACAGTTACAATCGAACTTGATGATGTTCAGCAATTTGGAAGATTAAGTCAGAAATTAAAACATCAACCTGGAAGTTTAGTTAACAGCAAAGGGGACAATTCCACAAAATGATAAAGCTCAGTTCAACAAAAGAAAGATAACCTACTAAAAATGTATAGAATTAAATTGGGAGGTTCTAACATATCATCCACATTCGCTAGACCTCGTCATAGACAAAGAAATAAAAACAATTTTGAAATAAGAAATCACCTGAACGAATAGCTTAATTCAAAAAAGCCATTTTCTTCAAGAAGAGGATCAAAAATGCTGCAAAGGCAAGATGGTAGAGAAGATGTAGGTTATAATTGAAAAAAAAATGGCAACGAACTTAAAGCTCGAACAAAGGAGAAACAGTGCACAGTGGCACTCTCCGACATACCCGACTGGCCAAGAATCGAAGCCGTTCTTGAGTTTAGACTACGTACCGGACACGATCGCTTGGCAACATACCTTCACAGATTGGGAGTATACACTCAACCCACATGCCCTCTATGTAACCTACAGGAGGAAATGGAGAAGACCCACCTGATTCGATGTCTAGCTCTAAAGACAACGACGGAATCCCCAGAGATACTGGGAAGCAAGAAGACAGCTAATGAACTACTATATATGTACCCCTCCCCCACCCATGGGGAAAGCTGAAGTCAAAGTTTAAGGGCTAATGATAAATATCATAAAGCCTGCCATTTGAAAAAATATTATTATAAAATGCTTGAATTTTATTATATTGCTGCCATTCAAGTCATTATTTTAATAAGAAGTTGCAGTGAACACACAGTAGGTCAAAGTTCAACCCTTTCATATACTATTTATCGATTTTTATTACTATTTAAAGCCATCTTGGATTAACTCAATATCTATCGCTTATCTCTCCTAACGAAAATTTACACTTTTTGGACTCGTAAGTCCTTCAAGTAAGTAATTTGATACCACATTCTTTATCTTTCCTTCCACTTTGCGATGAAGACGATCATGCAATAGGTGAGCTAGCACTTTCCTCTAGTGGAGGATTCTAAGTTTTACTTCCTTCACAATCAGTCAACAAAGTGAAATAATGATATTAATTAATTAAATTTTGCAAATAAATTGATAATTCAAAGATTGTAAAGACCTTTTGAAATTGGAAAGTTGCGAAAAAAATCAATAGATCGAAAATGGCACAAAAGGCAGATTTCAAAATGTAATATTTAAAATCATAGTACATGGAGGCAAAGAATAACATTCTCCGACTACCTGAATCTATATTTCTTAGTAAACTCTTTATTCCGATATATATATATATATATATATATATATATATATATATAACGGAATATATATATATATATATATATATATATATATATATATATAAATTAAGATATAACTTACATTAGCATGAGTGACATTTTTTCGTAAATATGAACTATATGTATGAGCTATACTCTAACTTAAGAGTGCGCAATCGTTCCCCTTTGCACGCTACGCGAAGGTACATACTTCGATTGATTTATAAATATGTTTCTCTCATATTCAGCTTAATGGCGTTTAAAACGAATAACCCCTTATAGATGCTACATTATTTAATTATTATGGGAAGGAAATATTACTGCAAGGGAAGCCAAAAAAATATCAAATATATTTCAGCGAGACTTAGAAAATAGATATGTGATCAGAGGCTGCTGAAATACCAGTTAGTCCACATGAATCGAATTCACCTCCAAATGTAAGGAATGCGAATATATATCACAGATGTTCCAGAATGCCCATGGAAATAGTTATCTGACTGAGGTAAAAGTGTAGTTGGCTTCAACTTACCAGTTCAACCCTTCCGAATCCACCTATTCCCAGTATGGCAACGGGTACGAGATCTTCATACTTGATTGCATTTCTACCCGCGATTGCTCGCGCATTCCCCACCACAGTGTCTGCATCCACGCCTGCCATCTCTGCACTCCGTTTACCCGCAGGAACAGGAGCGACTGTGGGGAAGAAGGGTGAGAGAGCTCCCATTCCAGAGCCAGAACGACTACTAGATATTGAAACGGATATTCCAGGTGTACCATCTTCGAGAGAGGCTTGGGAGGTCATTGATGCACGTTTCTCTACCGAGCCGAAGTAGTCTTCTCCGTCTGTGGCTGGAGATTGACTGCAATTATAAGATAAACATTCGAGCATGAGTTACTGATATAGTGCCATTCAACAGCGTTTAAGAAGTACTAAGCGCATCTCATTTACAACTTAGTACCCTCTCAAGATGATGCACTTTAAAGCTAATGTTAGTTGTTTTTATCCGCTGTTCTTACTAGATTTTCAAGGTCCAGTACCTAGCATCAATTTAGAGTCAAGAGCTCACTTTGTCTCGATTTAAATCTCTTGGTGCATGCGTACCTACCAAGGCGTATAAATACTCCCAAGTATTCATCATGTATCATGCTATGTTATACTTATTAATTTTAAAAATCACGAAAGTGCATGTGCTATGAGATAGTATAGAAGTTTACCGTTGATAATAACATTTGATATGTCCGAAATGAGATTACTTTAAACACATCCACAATCTCGGTCAATTGAATAACAAATCTGGCCATCTCATGAGAAAAAAATATGAAGATGGCGACTAGACTCTAACAAGGAAGCAAAAAAGGAAAACAATGATGACCGACTCATTCGTTAAACTCCTTCAATTTCAGACTTAAGCTTTCTTCTGGCATTAGACAACCCAGAGCTGGATTGTGAAACATTTGATTAGGAAGTCGCATTAGAGTTCACATTACCTTCTCTTGAAATTTATTCACTGAGTGGTCCTGACCTCGCACTTAGTTTGGAGTAGTTAAGCAAAGAGATTCAAATTGGAATTCACTTGAAAAATCGATTTTCAAATCATAGTCTAGATAAAAGCTTCTGTCTAATGCCCCAAAAGAGGGCATTAAATTAAGGATAAAGGTTTGAAACTGGAACAAGTGCAATTTAAAACTTTTAGATAACTTATTTGTTATCAGAGTTATTTGACCAAAAATGAACAGTTTATGTTAGCATTACAATTGTGATTTTGAACAAAATATACTCGGCTCTAAATACCACAGATACTATGCAGGAATGTAGCGAAAATGTCGTTCTTGCAAACTTCGGATATCTGTCACGAGTTCCAATTCGCGTCATGAAGATAAGTGAGGCGTTTATTCTATTGCGACTACAATAGCCTTATCGTCATTTTATTGGGAATGGATGTGGGGTGGGGGGTGGTTTGAGTATTTAACTGATATGACCTAATATTTGCAGTTTCGAAACTAGCTAAAACTTAGAATAGGTTACTGAGCTGCGATAACTCATAGTTTACCGCTATCATCATTGTCATATTTCTGTCCCCCTAAACTGTTGTTCACCATACCATTAGAGAACAAGTTAAATCTTTTAAACCAATAATATCACGATTACCTCAATCGATTCAATTGACCCAATCAGGAATTAAGAAAATATTTAATTTTCATTAAATTATTTAAGTACTCAATGAACTTTGTTTAAAGATAACTTTTTGGAGAATAAAATCGCTCATTTATTGAAAAAAAATAATTTTCCGGCAGATTAGCACGTTTCTAAGTAACAATCCGAAAGTGCTCCATGGTTGGAATATTTTTGAAGTTCCGTGGAATATAAAAAAACCAATTAAATAAACTCCCTGCCAAAGGGCTATATGAAATACACATCAAAATACCGTTTAGCGTTACAAAATGAAGGAGATTATTCTATGCGAATAATTACAACCTCTTTCCCATAGAAGAAGATCCTTTTCACTGTTTCACACACCATTTTGGGTTTGATAAATATGAAAACAAAATACCTCAGAACTTGCTAAAACGGGGTGCAATTCGAGCAAGAACGATATACTTTTTACTCTCACTGACATAAAGACGATAGAACTCCAAACTCTAACTTTGGCATTACGTTCATGCAACTGTAGCTTCGAGTTTACAGGAGCATCGAATAGCTTCAAACGAATCAGACTAACATTGGCCATATTTGAATCTCCCAAGCGCACAAGATTGCATTACCACAGTGAAGTACATTTAAAATTAAGGGCACATTTTGTACTCCCTCCTTTGACTTTCTCTTGGCATTCATTATTTTAACTACAAAATTATTAAACAATAAACCCATTTTTGAACGTAATAATTTCATTCATGAACGCATTTTAATATTACTTCTTTACCTATTGTTGGCATATTCGTAAATTGGTCAATGACGAGGTTAGAAAATTAGGCAATTTCACAGTTCTCTTTATCACACCTTTTGTTGGAATTATTTTTTTGTTCGTATGCGAGCACGAGGCTCGGCACAGAGCGATGAAATAGTAATTGAGCGAGTGGCCATGTCTCGAATTCCACTTAAATTAAATTTAAATTTTTTCATATTGACATAGTTCTAGTGGATACTCTCCTATTCAGAGTTGCTAGCTCCTAGTTCCCAGAATTTCCATCACAAAAGACTCCTCTTCAGCCGAACATCAACAGTGTAGATCTACACTGTTTTAGATAACCAAACAACTCGATTCATGGATGAAAGTGCTGGAGGTTTCAAAAAGCCAAATAAATGGTTAAGCTGGTTTTTCGCATAAATTTATTTGACATTAATGAGTATGGGGTGTGTGATAGACTTACCCCCACCTGGTGCACCCTGGGCAACGTATACTCATACGACAAAAAAGTCTATTAACTGGCAGTTGACTTCTCACTTCAAACTACCATCACCCACTGTATGCCATATTCAACCACTTCCACAGTACTCACTTCGCCTTTTTTCTACCTTTGTGTCTGTCTCTTTTACATATTTGAAACACTCTTCTGTTCCCCCCCCCCCCTCTCGACTTTTTCAAATTGATGTACCTTCCTCTCTGTGAAGCCTGAAGTCAACTAAATGGCTAATGATAACCATCAAGACGCCTACAATTTGACATTAATGAGTATATTTAAAAGCTGATTGCGTGTCGAGGGAGACATATTTATAGAGGATAGATACAGCGTCTGCCCTTAGGGTTACAAATTGAGGTCATCCAAGGGAATTTTATTACGGACTCGGAGAAACTTGAATTAGGATGCCTTTGTAATAAAATATACGCGGTTTCAAATTTTATTTCAATCGTTTTGCCTTTACTGAACAGTAACTTTGCGGTATGCGAAGTATACCAACAGAATTTCCACAATATTAAGTATTATACCCTTTTTTAACCATTTCATGAGCTTGAATTTCCCAAGATTTTCAACGAATGACAATTGCTTTAGCAATGAGCACTTCCATTTTCAATCTGTAGTTTTTCGTGAAAAATAATGGGTTAAATAGTGGAACATTAGGAACGCTTTTTGTTTGAATGAATGAGAAATCTGATAAATTAATGGCTCTAAACAAGAAAAGCTTCTTCAAACGCATAACGCCTAAGCTCATCCGCCTTCTTCATTTGCGAAAATTTTTGAAAAAATGCCACCGTTCCCCTCCCCCCCCCCTCCCCCTCCTTCCTCAAATCGGGCAAAATTTTAGAAGCAAGATAACTTTATTTAATCAGATTTGTGTCGTTTCTCAGCATAAGATTATTTGATAAAATAGTTCTATTAGCTGGCAGTTGACTTCTCACTTCAAACTACCATGTCATATTCCACCACTTTCACAGTACTCGTCTAACCCTACTCTCGACCTTTGTTTCTGCCTCTTTAACATTATTGAAACACTCTTCTGTTCCCCCTTCCCTTCTTGACATTTTTACACTTTGATGTTCCTTCTCCTCTATGAAGCCTGAAGTCAACTAAAGGACTCTCGATAACTATCAAAATGCCTGCCCTTTGATATAAATAAATATTTCAGTAGCTTAATACTACTATACGCCCTCAATATGCGCTATTTCTATCAAACTTCAAAAGTCCAAGGTCCATGAGGACTCAGTACTTTTGGACCCGTTTAAATAAAGAACGGGTGTTTCAATAAAAAGCATTCTCGAAAACGGACAGGATTAGATACTATAGTTGAAAAGTTTGTTGTTCCTCTAGCAGGGTTATAAGAGGTGATATTGCTTACATAATCTCGTTGGAAGACATTATTTACCTAACCTAGAACACTTATTCAACATGGTGGAATAGAAAGCGGACATTAATTTCATTGCCAAACGAATTTCTTTCAAGCCATTCTGTCCATCGAAATGATTATTCCGCGGGCAAAGATTTCGAATGTAAACCATTAATTTGAAGAAGAAAAGAAAAAAAGGTGTGTCATGCTCAATGCTGTTATCTCTTAGGGTCCTTCAATATGACCTAAGTACTGCGTTTATTCAAATATTGCATCAGCTAACAACAATGCAACTGTAGCCTAATTTTTCAATATCAGCATCCCGTTATCTTTGGACAGGGAATTGACGACAAACGGGCCCAGGGCAGATGTCTCGTTTGCCCTTGGCATGCAAGGGCGGAAAAAGAAGATGCAGATTTGCTTCTCCTCTCGACCCTAGGAAGCCCGCCAAGCGACTCCAAATATGTAAATCACCTTCAAATAAAATGGGAGAAATTTCATGCATTTATTCAAGTTAAAGGCGTCTTTTCCAACACACAGCGCAATAGAAGACTGATCAAATGGGAAAGAATTAACGTTGATCAGCAATATATCCTGCATTCGAGAAATAAAATGAAACGAGTATAATTGGCTTTTGTAGGTCAAGCTTAGCTAAATGGATGACTGTTTATTAACCACCGGTAAAATTATTGCTTACCTAACAGTCTTCTCATGAAGAAAAACAATTAGGCGTCAGAGAGGCCATAAATGACACCATTAAATTAGATGCTTAGTTTAGGAAGTCATTGTATTATTTCCCTCAACTTACTAGGGCAATTTTCGTAAACTTGGATGAACTTGACTCCTAGGTGACACGTAAAGCAATACTGACATTGCCAGCGACATATTTAACAAATTAGGAAAAAATATTTTCAAAATGCAAATAGGATAGAAACCAAACTCGCCTTAAAATACTTCTTCTCGAGTCGTTGTATTCGCGGGATTTGATCTCACTCAAGTCGCCAATTAGGTGAATGAAGTTTCTGGAAGGGATGAAAATGTGATCAAGTTTAATGCATGTCAGAATAGACACGGTAATTGGAATCCCCCGTGAGAGATATTAAGAGTCGGTACTGTTGTACCAGATTTTAGACTCGTCGCTAGGCCTCATTTTGAGGTGAAACCCCCCCCCCCCCCACCGATCGCTGTATTTTCTAACCACATCGAAGTTAATTAGCCAATTTGGTGTCAATAAATAGTACTCCATGTATTCAAATCCCGATGAGTTGCATCTAGATCACTCGATTATAAATATGAATAAATAGAGACCTGATTGTATGATCGGTCCAAGATGAGCTTCTGCTAAAGTGCTGATTGATCAAGAAGATTACAAGAGGGTCTGTATTTGCAACATAGAGCATTAAACAAACTGATCGTATTTCTCAGTCCAGGATTCATTACAAATTTTACAACAATTATCTCCCATCTTTTGGGTCTGCGGTAGACTTACCACCACGTGGTGCGTCCTGGAAAACGTATACTCATACGGCAAATGTCTATAAAACAGCAGTTGACTTCTGACTTCAAACTACCATGACCCGACCACTTCCATAGTGCTTACCTCACCTTTTTCCTACCTTTGTGTGTGTATCTTTTCCATATGTGAATCACTTTTCTGTTCCCCCTCTCGACTTTTGTGGCTTTGATGTTCCCCACTCCTCTGTGGACCTCGAAGTTAACAAAAGGGCTAATGATATAAATAAACAAATACTCCCACCTGTCTAATTGCATGGAGGAAGCCTTTAGGCACACACAAATTAAAGCAAATCGTTGCTTACAATTTGAGCAAGGTGTAATCAAAATAACTCACGATCGATCGAGACAAAGAACATGGACGCCAGGTGGCATGGCAACAACGTTGGCGCTACGCTTTTCTCGACTGCAAACAAAGAAGAAAAAAGTCGCTTTATAAGTTTTGTATAGTCTGGAAGCCAAAAGATGCACAAAAAAGATTTCAGTTGCAAAATTCTCAAGATTGACGACGTTATTATTTAGGTGAGAAATTTTTATTTGTTTTTTTTCCTTTGTAATTTCATCCATTTTTTTAAAAATATAAATCTTGTTTAAGAAGGTGAGCCTTTTCTATTATTCCAATAATTAGTTAAGCTTAAATATAATTAGCCTAATTGGTAGTAATAGAAATAACAATAAAAAAAACCTAACATGCATTATATTTAAATAATGAGAGCTCAAATTAATAGCGATTCTTCATAATAGAATATAAAATTGACGGACCTATAAGCAGTAAAGTTGAAGTCATAAAGCTACGGTTACTAATAACAATCGGCATAATTAAATAGCATGCACCCCTTTAAGTATTTGCCTCCCAATAATACCGCATTTTAATGTAACCTCCACTACGAGCAGACTATTTGGTAAATAAGGGGTGTTAGCAATACCAAAGTGTGACCGAGATAAAAAAAGAAGATATTTAGAGGTGTTTAGAATCATTTTAAGCCATTCTATACGACAGGGAATTACGAGTGAAGGGTTAACTGAAACGCACGTGTAAAGAGCTCGTTCACCAAACCAGTCTCCTGCTTCAAGTATTCTAATATCCTGTGGAGGCTCTCCTGGTGCTTTGGACTGAGTTACTTTCACCTGAAAACAAAATTTTGCTTAATTAAAATTATGTTATTTTATAAGTATTCCATACGCACACACACACGCGCGCACATTTCAACATGGATACAGAACCCCGTCGACAATTTAAATTTTTTCCAAGCCCGATCGAAAAAACCCAGCGGAGACCCCTTTGATTGGAATTTTGTATTCTACTGCTCCATCTTTTGATCAATGCCAATCCTAGGAGCCTTCATTTTCAAGTACTTGACGCTTTTATGGTCACTGCCGAATCTTCCAAAGCAAATTCTAAAATGTCTTTCCCCACTTAGAAATCCAAACTTGAATGAAACCTAGTGAGCTCCACCAATCTTAAAATATCCTTTTTAGGCTCATCTATCTGCTCATGACTGAAAGAAGATAAAAATCGATCAAATTGAAATGACCACGCCTTCATGTTACCTAACTGACCAACAATTTCTGTATATATCACGGGCACGATGACAATTCAAAATCCAGGCAATTTATCCTGAAATTTGAGCGTTACGGGAACGGGTTATTGAAAAAGTAAGCTGGCAACTCAAGTCTTCCAGAATTGAGACCAAAGAAGGTACTTGAAATCTTGAAATCAATATGTACAGCCATCAATTCAAGCTGCTATTTAACTATTCTGCAAATTTAGACGCTACGCCATGATAAAAATGTTCTGCTAATCACCAATCATCATTAAAACAATCAAGAGATCGCAGTATGTTCTTTTTTTCATTCTCATTGACTCCTATTTACAATTTAAACAAAAAAGCAGGGAGTGAAGGACAGATATTGATGCTTAGCCCAAATGTTCACTATGCAAGTCTTTACATCACACTACACACATAAACGTGAAGCACGATAAAACTGTTTATTACTCGAATAGCACTAGAGAGAGAGATGTGTGTAGGCACATCAGCACAGCATCGAGGTGTGCTTAGGTGATAGAGAGACAAATGGAGGTGTGCGAGCAGTTAGCCAATGAAAGTAATGAATACGGTGAATAGAAATTCTTCCATTCTGATAAGCATCCTCAGGTACCTTTGTAAATGTTTATGCATAACGGCAAGCTCTAAGCTGGTCAGACACTAAATGCGAGTGAATAGTGACTCAACATGGTTACGCTTTCGGAGAACCAACTAACGTTCTATACCAGCAAATTTAAGCAGGTTCTGAAGTTACGAACAGAATATAGCTAAATGGCCAATTAGTTAAGCAATTGAGCTTCTCCTACGCAAGATTCCTATAAGTAAGAGGAAGATGTGACCACACACTACCAACCACAGAACTGGGGGATTAAAATATAAACTTCCAAATCTTCAAACGAACCAACTCATATTATATGCTTCATGGGTCGAGTTAAGTAGTTACGGGAAATAGTCCGCTCTAGAGAGCTGATTTAGATAATTGCAATTCAGCTAGACAAATGATGGATATATTTCACATTAAAAAGCTAGCTTAATGGAAGGAGAGTTATTTTACTACTACTACTGCAACAACTACTACTACTGCCTGAATCTGAATATCGTACCTTAAATCACATTTTAAAAATGGACTCTTTGTTGGAACAAATAGGTCAATTGTGGGGTTAAAAGTAGCCCAGTAAGACAAGACGGCAATCGAGGAAAACAAAAATTATGAAATTTATATTCGACCCCGAAAATTACTTTTCATCTTCGTGAACTCGATGCAGAGCGTGCTCCAATGGGAACAAAAAATAGACTGCACTTCTGCATGATGCTTCAGAAAAGAGATTGGATGAATAGCAAACAACGTGGATGTATTCGCACTCACCTGTCCAGAATGTATAATGAAGAAGGTTTCGCCAACTTCACCCTGTCGTATTATGTAATCATTGCCTGGGTAGTAGATCTATTAAAATAAAAACAAAATTTACCAACACAATAATAAATTTATAAATCCTACAACCAATAGGATTTCAAAGTAGTACTTTATTTGACAATTAGAGAGCTTTTTAGGGCGATCTTACTGACTTACTAGTTCTAACACGTCGGCCAATTTGTGGAGTTTTCGTTGGGAGAGATTTTTGAAGTCGGAAACACTAAAGACAAACAAAAATTATTTAACAGGCCATTGGATGGAAGACAACTTCTCACCTTAACAGGAATTGGAAGTTTTCTTTGTGCTTATGAACGGAGGAGTTCATCATAATCTGCTGGTAAACTCTCCGGTCCAACGTCCAAAATTTGGAATTTGTCAGAGCTAGAGAAAGTAACAAAAAATTTTCCTGTAAATAAATAAATAAACAAATATAATATAGATATATATATATATATGTGTGTGTGTATTTAATATCTGCATTAATAATAGTAAATCCTAGCTTATACTAAATTTATGGGGTTCTCGAAAGTTCTTCCGACGAGATGGGAGGGAGAAAGTGCGCTGATTAACTAGAAGGACGTTACACTCGGTCATCTTGCCGTAAACTGTAATTTAATTAAACTGGGTGTGAATGAGATCACTTCACACAGGTTGCACTATACGTGGGCTTCGAGCAACACCTGCGCGCCAATAGCCATTAAACACTCCAATTTCAACACAAAGCTAGGACCCCGTATTTGATGGATAGGTTTTGTCCTTGTCACTACCAACAGGGGTGGGGGTGGGGCCTAGATCAACAAATGCATTTAATCCAATTTACCATATATTTTAATTAAAAATGCTGTTGGGCTTATTATGTTTAAGTTGGACATCATGTGCGTAAATTTACGTAAATCGATTTTGAAGAGGAGTTTGAGATCCCATCTTGTTCATTATTCGGCTCAAATCAAGGAGCAATTAATGGGAATATTTGGCTCATTCTGGAATTACGTGGATGATAGCCCCCTTTGACCTTCCAACTTTCTAGGTGGTGGATTAATTTTGATCCTAGAACTGTTTGCTATCTCGCTCTCTTCTAAGACTCAGAATATTCCGAAATAAGTTCTTTGGTACTCATTAGAGTTCCCTTAGTTTACTAATTAATTATCTTTCCTACCAAAATGAATTCCGACGTCTATTTGATGACATTTCTTCCAACAATTCCAACTCTGTCATGTGCCCAGCTTACTTCATCATCTTAGATAATGATGTGTTTAATGATAAGAACATCCTTAGTTGAATTAAATTCACCTACCTCCTAGTTTATACAAGTTCTACTTATTATTACACAAAAGGGATAATAAGATCCATCCTAAACAAATTTGCTACTGTGTGTCTTATTAGGAGCAAACAATTTCAATGAGCACACACCAAAATAGTAGGTTTAGAAGTACATATTTCAATCTGACAATTTGTTTTAATGAATAAAACGAAAAGGAACTTGAATTTTGCATACACGGTGGGGTGTGCGATAGATTTACCTCCACGTGGTGAACCCTGGGCAATGCATACTCATACGGCAAAAAAGTCTATTAACTGGCAGTTGACTTCTCACTTCAAATTACCATGACCCCACAGTATGTCTTATTCGACCCCTTCCAAAGTACTCACCTTACCCGTTCTCTGCCTTTTATTCGCCCCCTTTCACAGTACTCATCTTACCTTTTTTATAACTTTGTGTCAGTCTGTCTGTCTCTTTTACATCTGTGAATCATTATTCTGTTCCTCCTCTCAGCTCTTTCTCACTTTGATGTTCCTCCTCTCTGTGAAGCCCGAAGTCAGCTAAAGGGCTAATGATGGTTATCAAACCCCCTGCCATTTGAAATAAATGAATAAATACTTTGCATGCATGTAGATTAAGGGCTTAGTAGAACATTCGAAACACTTTCCCATAAGACTAGCGATATTTTATAGTAAATAAATAAGTAAAAAATTTAAACGATCGATACTCAGTTATGTTAAAATATCCCATTCCAAAATGAACTTTTATTTGACTTTAAAATAATAGGAAAAGAAGAATTCTTGCCTAATTATCAAACAACATAGTTCCTCTCTAACATTAATAAGAACTATCTCCTTTGTCCATTGACGAATGAAAGAAAAATGCTTTCGACTTTTTGAAAGGCTAAAAAATTCTTAGCAAGAAAGACCCCTGAGCTTTAATCGAAATCGTAAAAACAATTGAAATTAATTTTATGACGAATTAATTATTCACCCAATTTTCACTGCACCTTGACCTGCTAGTTGATAACTTATATCAAAGTTAAAAAAATAATTTTGTCCGCAGATTCAATAAATGTATATATAAAATTTTGATCTATAGAGAAAAAGAAGCGCTACTGTGCCCTGTAAATTTAATTTACTCTTAGAGTTAATAACATTTCAGGAAATTATTATCAAATTTATGCGTGCTTGCAACATACGAGGTTATTTGTTCAACATCATACGCTTCACGTACAATGAGTGGAATAACTTACCACAGTACAGTTCTATTCGGCTACTCAAAGGACTGGTGGAATTTGAGTCTTTCACAAGCGAAGCTCAATGATGCCACCACTTAAACTAAGGTAGCTGCGTTTGCGGAAAGTAATTCGTATTTATGCACGAACTAGTTGTATACCAACACTTTGTCAAATTATTGAATAGCACATCCAAAATAGTTTAGTGGAAGTATGCTGATGAATCCTCTAGCTTAGCAGCTTCTCATTCCAAATGAACACAATGCAAGGTTCTTTCTCAATTTAGAATCTTCCTCGCCCCCATCCCCACCCCCCACCCCNTTCCCCCCCCCCCACCCCCCCCCCCCCCCCCCCCCCCCCAACCTCAAAAATTTTCACTTTTCAAGGGCACAAAATTTATAGTTATAAAATAAACATAAAAGTGAAACTAATGGTGACGGTATACCTTTAACGGAAGCAGTTCGGTTGCAGTTGTAGAGCAGTGCCATCTCTCCAAAAGCTCGGCCCACTTCCATTTGACCTATGACCTGGTCACCTTTGAGCACTTCCAGTACACCCTCTGAAATAGAAAATAAGGCCACTTCAGTCATTTGCAACGAATATTCCTATATATATATATACATAGCCTTACCTCCAAGTGGGGCACCCTGGTCAATGTATACTCATACGACAAAAAAGTCTATTAACCGGAAGTTGACTTCTGACTTCAAACTATCATGATCCAACTGTATGTCATATTCGACCCCTTCCACAGTACTCATCTTACCTGTTTCTCTACCTTTGTGTCTGTTTGCCTCTTTTTCATCGTTGAATCGCTCTTCTCTTCCCCACCCCTCGACTTTTTTGCTACTCTGATTAACCTTCCTTCTGTGAAGCCCGAAGTCAGCTAAATGACAAATGATGGCTATCAAAACGCCTGCCATTTGAAATAAATATATATTTTTTTTTTCAATTAAGCTGCTAATCAAGTAGAGAATTTGAGATGAAAATAGCTAACTCTTTAATAGTACATAAGGCATTAGAGCTACAATAAATCCGGTGGTAATAAAGCAACAGCATTTTACACACGTTAAACTGGAAACGAGCGTGTGAATTATAAATCTGACATTTAACATTGGGGAAAAAATTGGAAATTATACAAATTAAATGCTTCATTTTTTAACTTATTGAAATAAGCTAAACATCTTACACTGTTTTTTGTTTCAATATAAATACATTTAAAAGTAATGACCGAACAAGTATAAATTTTTCAGTATAGGAGAGAGTTAAAAACAATTATTGAAAACATTATAACAAAATCTTATTGAGGCCAATCATGCATAGCTATCGATGTAATATTGACTGAATCTCTATTTACACGCCCTTTTACAAATTTTTCGAAATTATATTTTACAAGAACAGATCGTGTTAACAAAAATATCGTTAAAAGCTCCACTTTTAATTTTATTTCCCACACAAGTCAGACTCATTTATTTTAAAGGAGGTTTGATGCCCATATTGAAAGTGCATGCGTTAGCGTATAATTAGAAGCAATGTGAGCAAATTGAGTTTTGCGAACGTGAATCGTGCTGAGATATTACTGATTTCCGAATCAATCACTTGCGTTTATCGAAGCCTTATTACTCTTAGATAGCTTCATGCCGATCAAGTGAAAGATATTTTAATAGTTGTACCAGTTCGCTGCTCTGTAGAGAAAAGACGGAGCCACACCACTATCATTTAACTAAACTTGTAATTTTTGAAATGACCGATTTCTACTACTACCACCCGAGTTAGTACTATGCATAACTTCCATCAGCATTAGAAGTATTCAAAGGCGTTTACCTTGAGTAGATAACTAGAAGATGGTCTTTCAAGAAGCACGCATTTTACCCCCTCCCCCCTCCCTTACTCCCATGGTTGAATAGAATTAGCAACCGCCTTGGTCACCAACATCAATTGACAAATCGATTATATCAGTTAATTACAAAAGCTAAATTTCATTTAACCACCCAACAATCTTCTCTAATCAAATAATATAGTCCACAGTTAAGTCCAGTCAATATGATCTACATTGCAGAATCAACGTCTTTGAAAGTAGACTTTCTACATTGCGAAAAAAGCATATTATTGACATGTATACGTACCTCGATCTCCCATTTATATATTATATAACTTAATAATACAAACACGAAATATCTATTTCTCCTGTTCATGTGCCAACCCATTCCACCCCCGCACCCCCGGTTCCAATAACTTCCCACTAACGATCTTAAAGGTGGAGCTGAGTGAGGTTGGGAAAATTAGCCAGAATAAAACATTCATTAATTTGATATTTATTCAACCGCCTGTGCTACTACTGGGTAACTTTTATTTTTTTTTACATCCAAATTTATTTGAAGGTTATATTTCCATTGATTGTCAACTCGCTTACTTGAAACTGCTAAGAAATAATATATTTCCAACGAGAAGATTAGAAAAATGAATGCTGTTTTCTAGGTATTTCTTGTTGTGAAACCCGTTGATAGATTATTAGTCAAATATGAGGAAAATTGAGCAAATAGTGTCGTAATTCAGAAAATTCCTCTTCGGAAGCCGGGGTAGGCATTCGCGCCTCTGAGCACAATTAAATCAAGGGAATATTGCATGAAATGGTTATATTATACATTAAAAGACGTCTTCAGCTTTCAAGACTGGGATCCAAAATATAGAAAAGCCTTCAAATAGACTCAACGTGAGATGACATTGACATTAAATGCAAGCCAACTTTCATCAAACCTGTAATAAGGATTATGAGAAACTCATCGATTTATGCCAATTGGTTTCGTTAATATTAATATTTCTTAGTGTGGTGTGTGCGATAGACTTACCTCCACGTGGTGCACCCTGGGCAACGTACACTCATACGGCAAAAAATTCTATTAATCGGCAGTTGACTTCTGACTTCAAACTACAATTGCCCAACTGTAGGTCATATTCTACCACTCTCATAGTACTCATCCTACCTTTTCCCTGCCCTTGTGTTTGTCTGACGCTTTCACATCTGTGGATCACTCTTCTGCTCCCCACCCCTTGACTTTCTGCCACTTTGATGTTCCTCCCCTCTGTGAAGCCCGAAGTTAGCTAAAGAGCTAATGATAAATATCAAAACGCCTGCTATTTGAAATAAATAAATAAATAATTCTTACTGTAAGAACCCATAGTCTGAAAAGAAACGATACTAGTGGTTTAAATAAATTAGTCTTTTCTCGTAGGTATTTTCATAGGAAAATGACTGGTATTGGCTAAAGAATTTTGGTAATCGAATAATGTAAACATGCCAAAGATTGTAATTCAAAAATTTCCTAAGACAAACATTAGCACGCGTTCAAGTACTCTTCCATGGAGATCGCGAAAAAATATTGGAAAAGGAAACTCGTTTTAACTCTGACGCTGAATAAGTAGACAACGCTGTACGTACATGATACGGTGAAACATCCAATAGTACGATATTCCCTGGTTAAAGTCCGTCTTCACAGCTTAAGGATTCGAAAGAGCTCAGATTTTGCTTAAGTAAATACTATCAAAAGTGATAAAACCGCCGTCATTTTGAAGAGCGATAGTAAAAAACAAGTGGAGTTAAATCCTTAGGGGTGTTTGTATGAACTTAGCCACATCCCAAAAGACCTCATGTCTTTATGGCGAAACGTGGAAGTAGTCTTCTGATTCCCTCCACTGAAGAATTCGCAGTTCATCTCCCTTGGCTGATCAATCTGAGTTGGCAGTTATATAGTACATACGCTAGCTGATTGCTCACAGGCAAATTTTGGACTTATTGATGATACGTGTTCAATAACCTCTAAGAAATTAAGGCAGACATATTTCAGTATAATGAAATCGGTTTGTTTAGATTATTAAAACAAACGTGATGCCTTCGAAAGCCACATAGCATGACGAGAGCATGTAAATCCACACCCATGTGCACACAAAATTTGCACATGAATCCTTTTCTCTCTCACTCTCTATCTCTCTCTCTCTCGCTTATTCCATGTTGAAAGTGGGTGCGGCCACTGAACGATTTGGTATTTTAGTTGGCATAGCAAAGCGATGATAATGATGAGCTATGGGGAGGGCAGAAATTGATACCACTGTTGTTGCTGTTGTTGTTGTTGTTGTTATTACCGCAGATTTCGAAACGGGTCACTTTAAGCACACGACTGCAAGCGAGGGTGTCTACTGGTATCCACCACGCGCGAAAACTATTTTGCACTCCAACAAATCTCTTTTGACTACATGTCTAGAACCACTTGTGCTACATGTAGCGAGAGACCAAACAAACTGTCATATACGCTTAGCTAACGCATCTGATAAACACTCCATAGCTAAAGTTGCTTATAACCAATCGTAATTTCCTCACCATGGAGAGCAATATTACTGCAGATTTTAGTGCTCGGTATAATTTTTTCTGACCTGGTTCAAGGGAAGCATGATGGACTAAGCTCAGTCATGTATGAACATAGCCCGATTCTCGATAAAATAATGACAAGTACATTTTCGCTCAACTTTCAGTAGAATCTTATACCAAGAAGGAGCATATCCCCAGTGTTTACAGATCAGATCAAAAAATATAAGGTTAAATTCTCAGTATATCAATTGGTTTGATATTAAAAGCGTAGTTATTTGGAAGCAAATAAGCTTTCACAAATGATCATGATAAGAGAGGGGGAGGGCTTTGACGACTAATGTGGATCTTAGATTAAAGTACCTGCTTCTCCAAATGAATTATTGCAGCCGATAATAAGGTATTGTAGAACTAGTTAACAAAATCTGGGGGGGGGGTAAGGTAAGAGATGTATTCACGATCAATTTTTACGTATTTTTGCTTATAACGTGGGTTCCTATAGAACCTAGAAGTAAAAGAACTTGATCAAACTATGGGAATTAAGAAAGTCTGATGAAATTCCTCCAAAGGAGCTGAACGAATCTTTCAGACAATATTTTAAAACCCAT